AATTACAGTGTGTGAAAAATGAAATATAACACTGCTGGACACTCTACTCTCAGGTCAGTACTTTGCCAGTATAATGATCATCGTTGGGATGTCAGTCATCGCCACAGTGGTCGTTCTGCAGTATCATCACCACGATCCAAATGGAGGAAACATGCCCAAATGGGTGAGGCTGAGCTCAGACTGTTCATCATAACCTCAAGTGTATCATCAGTCACATACACCATGCTTTCCAGATTGTTAAATCCTGTAAAAGGTTGGTCTCCTCTATTTCAGTTACAGTATACATTATATATATATATTGCTTTTATTAATCTCTATTACAGCATTAATATCACTTCTGCTCTCCCATTCTCAGTAACATTTCATCTATCTGTTAGCACTACCTGTGCTTCTCTGCCAGTTTCTTTTCTCTTTTCATTCTCCGACTTCCTCTGCTGTGACTCATCCGGCAGTGTCAGTCTGCCTGAGCATGTTCATCAAATGCCTCGCCACAGACTTCCACAGGAGTGCTTTTCAAAGTGCTCTGGATATGTGGGTGGATTTGATTTGACTTATTCCCTCTTCTTATTTTTCTTTCCTTCTGTTTAATGCTAAAAAATGCATCAAGGCTTTTTACAAAAGTTTTGTTTTAATATTAAAAATGTGCAAGTGGTTTAGAAAATGACTCTTTCTAAATGGGAACATTTCTTATTATTTCTGTGATATTATTCAACATGTTACATATGTTTGGCATTTTAAGATATATTTTTTCCGGGATTTACGTTTTGACTGCAGAGAAAAATTGACAAACTACATTTATCAATATATGTAAAAATAGCTCGGTTGAATGAGAGTGCAGATGCTGTATATATTGATGCATTGCAAGGACGTTCTGTTGATGAATGGCCTGTTCAGACAGTCCAATGGCCAATTAAGAAGCTAATTGATGTGGTTCAGATGAGTGCATCGAACCAGCACAGTTCATGATTGCAGCCCCGGACAAAAACAACATCAACAGCAGCAGCAACAGGGACTGTTACCTGGCCAGTAAACACACTCGGTGGAGACTAATTGAGCAGTCATCTGGACATTAGCTTCTCATTAGATGCCAGACACCCATCTGGATGCTGTTGGGCCAATATGCCCTTTCAGGGGACATGTAGTCTTTTTCCGAGGGAGTTTTGTTTTAATGTTGCGGAAGTGGAGAACACAGGAAACAAGGAGCGGAGACGAAAGGAGAACAGAGGGCAGTCGATTTGAACAAGTTTTAAATTTGTACCAACTTGCAAGCAGCTAATCTCTTTATTTTAATGCAGCAGCTTACTGAAATATTATTGCAAGCTCATTATAGTCATGAAACAGTAATCTGATAGTCGATCTCAATGATTCCACAGTTTAAATTTAATGCTGTCTTTTTAAATATCCTCTCTGCTGGAATCACAGTCCAAGCTAAAAAATCTTCTTCGCCTTAGGCTCTTTAACTGGGCGTCCTTGGTGACAATCTCATACTTCTACTTAGTGTAGTGCAAGTGCAGCTGCATTTTGAAACAAGACGCAAGGTTGGAAACAGCAACAGTCCAATCTATGACAAATGCAGCTATTTACCCGACTTTGAACTTGTGTTATGTGAAGGTCTAGATGTGTGGATGGTTTTCAATGCCTTACAGCTGTCTTGTAACTCTTTCTTTATATCCTTTCACTCTGTCCTTCACTCTCATCTTATCAGTTTTCCCCTGTTTCTCTCCACAGGTGCAGCTCGTCTTGCTGCAGTGGGTAGCTTGGTTCTTGCGAATGAAGCGTCCAGGAGAGAACGACGACCCAGAGCGGCCCCCGTGTGCCCCCCACTTGCGCCGCTGCTCCTCAGGCTCCCAGAGCGGGAGCATCCCAAACCCTCCGGACCCCACCCTTCATCCGCTGCACCCACAGAACCTGGCTCCTCTCCAAACAGGGCCCCTCCATGCGGGGCACCCTCACCTCCACGTCCAGTCGAGTGCTAACAACAATGGGAACCTTCTTTACATGGGCTTCCAGAGCATGGAGGACCCTTCAATGCTCTCTGAGTCTGTCCAGAGGAATAACATCTCCACAGGGCCTCCGAGAGTAGCAGGAAGCCCGCCTCCGCACCTGCCATCTCAGTTCTGCAGCTCCCCACCACCTCCTACCCCCAATATGGATACAGGCTGCCCCAGCACTGTCTCCAGTGGTGGGGGCTTTGGAGTTGGACCCGGAGGGCTTGGAGGGTTCTCTGGTTCAGGAATAGGAGACCCCCAGCTCCAGGCTATCCTGGAGGAAGTGCGTTACATGGCAGACCGTTTCCGGGAGCAGGACGAGGCCGAGAGCGTGGCCGACCAGTGGAAATTTGCAGGCGCTGTAATCGACCGCCTGTGTCTGGTGGCGTTCAGCGTTTTCAACATCATATGCACCATCTCCATCCTCATGTCTGCTCCCAACTTTGTGGAGGCTATTTCAAAGGACTTCGTTTGAGAGCAAAGAGGAAAAAAGAGGAGGAGAAGCGTGAAGGAAAGGATGAGGGGAATTAAATATAAGATGAAGGATGGAGTGGGCCTGGATCCAAGGAAACAATTTCCAGCGGACTGTAGGCTTTGTGATTTGTGATTGCGAGGAACTGGGAAATAGAAAAAAACCCAAATGGTTTTCTTTGCAATACATTCTGTTTTGTAACTGAAATATAAGAAGAAAACAGATGAGGAAGGGGATACAGAGTGAATTTAAAAGGAGATTAGGCTGAGCAGGGTGCTTTATCAGATTCTTGACAAGCTGGAATGGATTCTTGTGGTTAATTCAAAGACTCCCCCCCCCCAAAAAAAAAAAATAAAATTAGAAGAAAGATGAGTTAGAAAGAGAAGATTATCATCCCAAAGCAACCTCAAGTAAGAAAGCTCTTAAAGCAAAGAGGGAGATTGAGAGAGTAAAAGGGGAAAAGCGACAGGCGTTGGATAGGGACAGATAAATAAGACAGACATTTGGCTGTTTTATTTTCTCGAGGAGGGAAGACAGTCCTTCACTCCCACATGTTGAGAAAAGACTGCATCATTTAAAGTGATGTGAGGAGGAGAGGGCGGGGAGAAGAGAAAGAGACTTTTACAAGGACAGACAACAAAGAGCAGTGGTGAAGGAACGAGACTTCATCCCTCGTGACTTTGGCAGAGTTCGGTGGAGTAAGCAGCCTGATGCTTGGATATACAAAACTGGACCAAAGATCAGGAACGCTGCAGCAGAGAAGATCAGACGAGGATCTCATCTATTATTCAATCACATCCATCTAATGACCGTCAAATTGAAAGACCTTGGATAATCTTTAAGACTAATAAGCTTTTAAAATATGAAGCCCCCTCTCCACTCGCAAACCACTTTAAATTGCCAAGGCCTTATCTCCTTGAGACGATTGCCAATCTGCAACAATCAGCAGAGATCAAAAGCCCCTTAGCAGCCGGCACAGTGTGCAGTGCTTATCACAACCGGGAAACTGAATTAACCGGTCATCAATATCGCAGTGGCCAGTAGCTGCACCACAGTGGAGGCTTGAACCAGTAATAACTCATGAAGCAGTTACCTAATGGTATCTGGCAGGTCCTAATAGGCCAGCAGATCTCATTGGATTTCATATTAAAGGTTTAAAAACTGAAATGGGAGGTCAGGTCTTTAAAAAAAAAAATAAGATCACTCAGAATTTTAAAATTTATATGGAGAAGCAACGCCCTATCAAATTTCTGTCAGATCCCTTCAGGGGTTTACAGCTTCATGAGTGGTTTCACATCTATCTAAAATGAGCAATGGGATTTTAATAGAGATGAAATTGACTCCAGTTGCTAAAGTGGTGCTTTAAAAGGTTTAAATTTAAGGCACGACCTTCAGCCAGAGAGCTTGTGTAGAAAACGTTAGCCAATAAACAGAATACATCTTAAGTTAGTTTGGGTTTGAGGGAACTGAACTTATTCCACTACTTTCCCGAGAGTCAGACAACCATAAATTACTTTTTTGTGTCTCTGTAAGCAGTTTGAATGTATGCTGAATGCAAGGTAAGCCTAACCCAGCTCAGTTCATGGATGTCTATGGGTTCAGGGTGGCTGTCTGATCGGACCCAATTGCAAGTTGTATTACGCATTAGAAATTTTAGAACAATTAGATTATATCAATGCTCCAATGCTCTAGGGCTGCGTCCAAAACCCTTCCTGTTTTACTATATAGAGCATATACTGTATAGTACTATATAGTGTACTAGATAATGTGAAATTTATGCAGTAATAGTGCCCTCAAAAATGACCACAGCTGAATGTCACATATTACACATGCAAAAATGTCCTTTTTATGACACTATATCTGTCAGTGATGATGATTCATAAGTGTCTGAAATCTCAATTTACTGCTTACTATAGAGCAAACTATTGAGTGTCTATAATAAAGGGAATAGTGAAATAGTTAATGAGGGAGGGATTTTGGACACGGCTCAAGATTATAAGTCAAAATAGCTTGAAGCATCAGAGCATCAACAAGCAGCAAGTGCACCTTTAAGAACTCCGTTGAGTGAGTCTCCCGTTTATTCACTGATTCCAAGATAGTGTTACCAAGCTGTTCACAGCCACTGATAATAAATATAGAAATGTCAAGAATATGTTTATGTTTTTGTGAAAACGTAGTAGTAGTATAAATAATGTTTATTCTGTCACACCTACATAGCCCGCATAGTGAAAACAATTGTTTTTGTATTAAACCCTGGATAAAGTGTGTTCCCCTGAATTTGAGTGGCTGATAAACATGAATGGAGCAAAGTAAACTAAGCTTAATATTCAATCATACATTCAAACTGTAAGAAAGTAAGATATAAAAAAGTTATTCCTCGGTTTGCCTGACTGCAGTAGGAGAGATTCCTCAAAAAACCAAACAACACTTTGAAGGATAAAGCTGGAGTTACTATATAATTTTTCATATTGTCAGCAAATTCAATGAGAAAACCTAAAGCTACAACACGTTATGTCTCTCAGTACTTTCCTGCAGTATCTGTGGCACACAGCCCCGTGCCCATTTGTTCCCAATGAAGACATAATCCTTAAAAACAGGTCAGCTGGGCACTAGTTTTTTTAGCAAACATCAAGGGACTATTTTCAGCTGTGGATTAATACACATTTTGTGCTGTAGCGAGTATATACAGCCGCTGTTTATGTACAGTGCCCACTGTTATTGTAATGGAGGAACATTTCATCCAGATCAACAATGTGGCTCATTGATGTGTTTAAATAGATTTTGAAAAACAATGGTGGGATAAGGAATACGCTATATCAGGCTTTGGCTATACAGGCAATATTTAGGCTAGTCTGATACATGCGTTGTTGGTTTTTGATAATTTCATGGCATTTGATGACAATAAGAAAAATATAGAATATTGGCTGCTTTATCCAAAACACAAAGATCCAATAGGACAAATATGTTTACATTCCTGACCTACACTGTCTCAAATGGCTGTACCCATGCATTCTCCCACTGTGACCTGCTACACAGAGTGTAGACAAAGTTGTACAAACACTTTGTCTCTATACCTCTCTTCATCTTCTGACTCCTCTCTCTTCCTCTCTGAAGTCAAGTCTCCTAGTAGGCGGAAAGTAAACTTCCTGCCTGGGGGTTTGCAAAAGGATGTCCTCCTTCCAGCACATACTGACAACTAAACACTCACATCTGTACAGAGCATTTCTCATCCTGAAAATAAAGGGTTCTCTTTTTTTTTCTACCACCTTTGGTCTGCTCCCTATCTCTCCGTGTTGACAGTGGCTGGCCCGACACCCAAAAAGAGGAGAAAAATGACAGCGAGGGGATGAGAGGAGGAGAGAAAGTGCTGACGTGCAGTGAGAGCTGGACAGGGCCTTAATTGATCACTCGTTCAGGAAGGAGAGAAGGGAGGGGGGAGGGTTGGGATGGGTGGAGGAGGAGGGGAGGGTTAATGGAGGAAAGAGGGGGGTATATGGGGGGGTATATGGGGTAATTCAATGGATTTATGAGGGACAGAGGCAGGGGAGATGGGTGCTCAGACAAGCATAACTCAGTCACAGACATCAAATGAAAGGCCACTGCTGTATATCACACCACAAGGGAAAATATACACCACAGAAATAAACAGAAATTAGAAACATATTTTCATGCAAGTATATGTCCATCAAGTGTGGGGAATGTGTGTGGTTTGTGCGTAGCCTTGACTCTGTCACTCAGTCAGTGTGTCAGACTGAGTAAAGAGTCAGGGGTGTATTTATAGTAGTGTACTGGTCCTTATTCAGCCCAAGCAAGGCTCCCTGTTCGACGGGCTACCTCTCTTTCTCTCCGAGGGTGAAAAATGTGCAGCGCTAGCAATCTAGCAGCACTTAGATTTACTGTGTTCACTCAGATGGAATAAAAGAAGAGAGAGAATGTGTGTGAAGACTGTGTGTGTGTGTGTGTCCATGGGGGAAGATGAGCCTCAGGGTTTGTGTATGCATAGAATCAATCAGTTGTTGTTTTTTTTCTTTTCCCCCAATTCTCATTTAATAAGAGTGCGCCAACCGAAAGCTTTTTTTCTCAGGCGTCAGATATTTTACCAGGTGGGTAACTCAACTGAAGCTCACTGGAAGCACATTAGGCCTTGCACAGCTCTATGACTGTGTAAATGGGGTGGCGATATGTAAGCTAAAAAGATGCAATCACTGCAAAGCATACAAATGAAGCAGCAAGCCTATGAGTAAAGCAATCACATATCACATTGACATTTGCTCAACACACTAATTGCATACATGTTGAAACACACACCCAGATGCACCAGCCCATGTGCATGCACACCTGTTCTCTCTCAGGGTCCCAGTGTGCTGTGCTGCATGATCGCATCCCAACATCTTGCGGCTGAAGCCGATCAATGTCTTTTAATTACCAAGGGCCCAAAGCGCTGGTCGATACAGCTGACGAGAAGCAGAGAGAGAGAGAGGGGGGCAGAGAGATGCTCCAGACGGTGATTGATGCTCACTCCTTCCAGCGAGCCTACCTACAGATGTGTCGTTAGGCTTGATTAATCCTGCCAAGCCACATTCATTCACTTTACAGACCGCTGTTTAACCAGCCTGGGCCGCCACGGTCACAAGGTTAAGTGGACACAAGGTGCCCGCCCTGAGGAACAAAGGCCTCTTTACCAATAAGTCAAGGGTGGCTGGTTGCTCTCTAAAGTACTGGCTGTGTGACTAATATACTCTGATTCTACGTTGACTGAGTTTTGATTTCTTACTTGACTGGTGGAAGATATTTGGATAGAATGCATCCAGCATGTCAAGGTTAGCTACAAATAACTTAATTAATCCTTTCAACAAATATCTACTCAGGGACCTGAAAGCATTAGCAAAAGTGTAAATTCTAATTCTAAATCACTAAAGAATTCTACTAGATTTTTGAAGCCAAAGAAATCAATGAAGTTTTATCCAAGACTAAGACTCATCTGTTCATGGTTTGTTTTTTAAAGGGGACTCAGCAGCCTAATATTTCACAAAATTCTGGGACTCAGAAAAGACTGAAATCAAAACTTAAAATAGCACTCCATAGCATCTTTTATTAGACCTCTTGCCTCCTAAACACTGAAACCCCAATTTGTAACACATGCTGTTGATAAAAATGTCTCCAAGCCCAAAATGAGACATCACAGTTATCTCTTCAGAAGACTCCCTTTCAGAGCCACAGAGGACATTAAACAACACAGGCTGAGCAGAACTCCTCTGGATGAGTAAACTAAACTTCATGTGTAAAATTGGTGGAGTGCCTAATTCCAGTAATGCAATCAGAATGAGTGCAAATATGAATGTCATGGCCGGAATGTTTATTTACGCTTTTAATCTCATCTGATCAATCTGGGTGTGACAATGCTGTGAGGTTGGAATCATTAAGCAGTCTTACCCAGACACTGTTTATTAGACACCTGTTATTTCCCCTCTCCATTACAGAGCTACAGAAAAACATATGAACAACCTGTAACTGAACAATCAAAAAAATGAAAGAAAATGTGCTTTGTACTGTAATTTAACACTGCTGCAGATATTAAAACTCTCATTTTTAATCAAGAATAAGCATCAAATTGAATTTAAATCTGCAGTTTTTGGGACATATTTGTACCTTACACAACTAACCAGTCTTTAGTTACCCCTCTCTGGAGAATGTTGCAATTCACTGCAACTCAAATGGGTTTTAGTGAAATGAGGGAAAAAACAAACAAGGATAATCCAGGACTTTCTATGCATGAAAGGTGTTAAGAGTCTTGAATTGAAACTGTTAGGGCTTTTAATTATACATTACAAAAATTATACAAGTTTTCTTTTGTTATATAACGTTATTTGAGATTCCAAATCCACCCTTTTTATTCTGAGAAGCAGACATGGAACAGGCACAAAAAAAAGAAGCAATTTGCTTGGCACGGTGCATAAACTCACAAGAAAAGAATAAATCCAACAGCTAAAGACCACCACAGCTGCCTCTGTGTAAAACCGAGAATGGCATGTTGGAGAGACTCCCACACTGTTCTCACTGAAGCCTCAACACAAGTGGACGTTAAGTGGACTTAACACATTTTCCCTCAGGTGTGACCACTGGGTAAGCAGCCACTCTGTGGGTCTGAGGACATTATTCCAAGCCGACAGTTAAAATCTGTCAACCGTGCAGAAAGAGTGTTCTTATTATTATAGGACAAGAGGGGCTCACTTTCTCCTCCTCCCAACTACTACAACATATTCAACCAGTGGCTGTTTATCTATTTTAGGTGTTTTTTGTTATTATTCATTGGGAATTACTCTGTACCCTACAAAATTGTTTATTAATCTATGACAGCAAGGCTTGATTTGGTCATTTGCATGTCAAAAGGCAGCTAAACATTTAAAAACAAACTAATTAAAATGGCTTTTTCAGCTATTTTTAATGTGAAGACAAATTGCATGTCCTAAAACAGGAGTAGAATATTAAAATTCTGTTTAAACAATGATTATTGTGAAGTGAAAAAGTATTTGCTCACTTCCTGATTTTCTTCCATTACTTGTTTCAGATCACAAAATTGAATATATGACAAAGAGAACCTCAGTAAACACAAAAAGCAATAAGCATTCATTTTATTTATTGAAGGAAAAAGTGAAAAAGTAATTGCCATCTTAGTTACTCACTTAACCAATGAACCAAATTGAACTGATAATTGAGTTTGACACAAACAGACCAAAATTCCTCCAAAATTGCATCGGCAACTCGTCCAGGAGGTCAGCATTCATGATTCCACCATAAGAAAGAAACTGTGCAATGGGATGGCACTGTATATGAAACCTTGACACATACAAGAAGAAATTTGCTGTTTAGACATCTATATTTTCATACTTCATCAGTCACCTTTTCCTCCCTTTAAGTTCAGTGTGAAGCAGATCTTAACAACAAACGTATCTATAGTCACAGACATGTGGTTTAAAGATAAGTCATCTTAGATAGACATCTAAAAACTCTTACTTTTTAACCAAGTCAAGCTCATGTTTAACTGAGATGTTTGGACATATTTTGACCTGGAAATAAACAAATATGTGCTTACTGGGTATGATAAGAGTCTAGTAGTAATTTTAGTAAGCTTTGGTTATGGTTGTGTAGTGTTGGCTACAGACAGTTAATTTAAGTATCAATACTATGCTTCAGTTTATTTAGCCTTAATATGGATTAACAATAAGTCAAAAAGTCACACCTGATAGATTATGAGTTTAAATTAGACTTTCTCTCTGAGTTGGACCAAAAAAAGCAAGGTGAGGGCAGGTGGTGAAGTTCGGTTGGCAGCCTGCAGTCAGCATATATCGTCCACGTGAGACAGCTCTAATGAGATGAGTATTTTCACCTCAGCAGTGCCAGTGCACACAACATTTTATGGGCTTGGTTCCACGGGGTGCATTAAGAGGCTCTGTATTTTTGGTTTGAATAATGCCTCACCTCAGTTCCCCACTACCTCCTCACAGACTGCAACAGCTCCTGTTGAGCACAGCAAACTACATAAAGATCTGTACAGCATGTGACCATCAAAATGTCACCGTGCCCCTTCCTCTGCCAGAATAATGTGCCTGTGGACCTTTTATTAGCAGCCGTGCTCCCTGCCATGGGACCTGTTATGTACTGTACAGCACTTCTTTCTTTGCTGCAGACCTAGGGCTGTTATTAGGCAGGAAATGTGCATTTTTAAATAGAGAGTGGACTGTGTACTGTATGAAGACACCGCGGGAAAAGCATGGTCGTTCATAAATGAAATGCCTTCTATTCAAGCAAGTCTTTCTTTGGTCTGTTTTGTCATTTGTTTAGCTCCAAAAAAGTTGTGACATTGTGCTTTCCTCTTCATCAATGAGGATTAAGGCATACTGAAATGTTTCCTGCCAGGAAACTGTCACATCTGTTCCTTGTCATAATCAGCCCTCCTTTCACTTCTTATCTAGCAGGCTGGAGAGAAAAACAAAAACGGCTGTCAAATCACATTCAGCTCCTTAACTCAGTTATTCTGTGCCAAACAATTTTGCTTTGAACTTATAATTTACCACCAGTGATTCAATATGAACCACATTTGCATAAATCCCACCCACACATGCACATAAATTACAGGACATATTGCTCCAAACACCAGGCAGTTATAGGAGACTTTAAGAATAAAAGTACTGCATGAATGAGAGTCTGCCATCACCTTTCATGGAAACTCACAAAAGAAATGCTCATTAAAAGCAATTTATTCAGCATTGCTGTAACATTTTGACAAATTCAAACTTAAAGACATTAAAAGCTTATTAAGTGCACTCTTTTTTCCCCCCTCCAATAAGTTAATTGGTCCCAGATGAGCCCTGCTGTTACTTTATCACTTTATGTCTTTTATAGGAGGACAGTCTTGACATCGGCCAGGTCCCACTGGAAAGGAAGAGAATCCATACATTGATAAACACAACCTGAGTGCTTTATCATTTAACAGCTGGTAAAAATCCCCCTGGAAGCAAATTCAAATTACTGCCAACATAAAGAAAATGAGTTCACGGTTCATTTTATGTCCTGGAGGGAGTAAATAAATTCAGACTGACAGATTTTTTTTCCCAATATATAACTTTATTTAAAATATTGTTACAATTTATAACTCTACACAACATTTTCAAACCTTTTTTTGCCTTTTTCTTATATTGGTTAGTAAACCTTCATGTGTTGTTTAAGATATAAAACTCTCAATTTTGTAGCCTAGTTTTGCATCAGGTGTTAATTGATGTCTTTAGACACTGACTCTCGTTTTTGACAGCTTCAGTTTCATTGTGTAGTTAGCTAATACTCCATACAGCCATTGCCCACGCACAAAATTAATGATCAACGGTGGCTCTAGCCTTGTACACTATAATTTCCCCAATCTTTATAATTTCTTTTTAAATAAATAAAGGTTTTGAGTTGGAGAAACAAGAGTGCATTTTGTCCAAGAGATATTCTCTTTTTCTTTTTAAAACAACTATTTACAGGTTATGCTGAAGACAGACAAACAAGGCTTAGGTTTTTAATTAATGTCACTGACTACTTGCCAGCCCCGTGTTTTCAAAGCATTTAACAGAAATTAATTACACAAAGGCTAACACTTTTTAAAAAACAAACACTTACATCCACCCCTCATGTTAGTCATGGGTAGGACATGTCAGCTGAAATGGGAAAGCCAGCAGCTAATGCCCTCTAGAGTCGGACGCGTGTTCCAGAGGTCGACGAACATCAAGTCTACACAAAAGTGCTGATGATGAGACAAACGTAGCGGCTCTGACTGAACCAACAGCGTCAAAGGAAAGAGAACGACTGAGCAGCCTCATAAATGCCACTTTGAACACTGGACTCTGAGCCTGAAACGCCGTAGAACTTGGAACAAAGAGAAAAGATCTTACACAATGTCTGCCACTCAAATGATGTTATGGAAATCAGTGCTGCTTTGGCACGAGACTCAGAAAACCAATGTGTTACTATAGCAACAGCATCATTTAGACGAGCATTCCAGTGCAGTTCTGATGGACACGAACTTTCTGAACCTCACGTGGACACATTCATTTTTTTATTCTACCGCCGCCATGTTTGCTGTACCATCAAACGTTCTTTTTATCTGTTAAATCCTGTGTGAAATTCAAGCCTCTTTCTGTAAATATTCATTCACTCACAAGCGAAGGCAGTCCAGCATCTCAGACACAAACACAGGTGGCCCACAGCACAGCGTACACTGACAAACACAGGCCGACCATACAAAGACGTGCTATTTAACATTCCTGTCATCTCTCTGCTTTCACCTAAACACTGTTACTATGACATTTATATCACCGATGGCCGAAACGGACGACAACTGACAGGATGCACACCTGCCTGTGACTCTGAGACTGAGCGTAAGATGGCACCTGGCGCAGACGAGACAAACCGAAACACAAAAATATAAAAAAACAGCAGCTTTCTAAAAGCCTATTCACAGCAGCATGAGCCACAGGGACAGAGAACAAACATCAAACAGTAAAAAACACTGCTTTGAATACATTATTGGGAGGAGTGAGTCAGTTGGCTGACAGGAATAAAAGGAACAGAGGCTGCACTGAGCGTGTTGAGCCAACGTGGTGCTGCCACGGCAACCACATCCCCCTGTGATGATGGGGAGACCAACCTGGAGACCAGAGGACAGAAAAGCTAAAACACACAATCACTCAGCCTCTATCTGCTTCTACATCTTATGAAGGAAAAAAAAAGAAACATCATGGTTGAACAACTCCAATTCGTATGTCATCCATCTCTGAATTGGCTATTACTTTGGCTGTCAAAATGACCATCCAGCAATCTGCACATTGCAGTTTCATTCTCAATCCAGCTACCTGTGGTGTGTGTGTAAAACACACAACATGCTACTACAGTATGGTATGTATTGCTATAGGCTGTCTTATAACTGAGGTCTGCCCTCAGAGTCAACACAGGATGACAAATAACACATTTTGCGATGTTGCACTTAACAATTTTGTCAAACTGTAAACAGAGTAGCAGGGAGACAGGGATGTGTGTGTGTGTGTGTGTGTGTGTGTGTGTGTGTGTGTGTGTGTT